TAGCGCAGATAGCCCTCGTGTAGCTTTGCGAGAAATTACAAAACAAAACAAACACAGACCCAAAGTGCGGAGCATATTTTATCAACATCGGATAGCGAACCACCAGTCCACATTCTGGCCATGTTATCCACTAAGTCATTCCCGACTCTCCGCTGAAATACACTGAATTGTTGATCTAAATATATCCTAAATCCATTTGGTCAAGATTAATTATTGTCACCTCAGTATCGCTACAAAACAACAACAACTATTGGATAATTTTTCTCCAGCAAAACGTATGGTTTATAGTAAAAATGAATAGATAATTTCTTTCATCAGATGCTTTTCAAAATTTCTGTAAAAGTGAGTGCTACGTTTTGAAGTTTTAATCAAATTTATGGGAAAATATAACATTTTACACAAACTACTTGATTTAAACTCTTCAATGTCAGCTTCCCGAATTAGTTACACCCACGCTAAGTTTCATTGTTTGTTTTTCTGAACAAAGCCAGGAAATGATCCCCGAATTTTAGTGTTGTAAACAAGTAACCATACCGCTGTTCCACTGGAGGACCCCACAATAAGATCCAGTTATAAACTCATAGACGCACATTAATTTTCAAATCAACTGATTTCAAGTACATGATTTTCTCAAGTTTCACAAGTAAAAAAAAAAAAAGTAACATAATAATAAGTACATAATGTATTTATGGTGTTCAAATAAGGTTATTTTTCTTCTTTTAAAAACAAGAAGAAAAAAAGCCAAGAAGATAATTTAACATTAATATATATCTCACTATATATAATATATATTTATATCTATATATAAACCTAATACTATTTACAAAACTAGGTGAAATGATCAGAGTACATGTATAAAACCCCCAAAGAAAAGGTTTTCTTTTCTTACACAGATTCATAACAAATAGCCTAGCCGGAAGTAGCCACTTGTTTTATGTACATATAACCAGATCCTATAGGAATGTTTAAATACATTTTAAATAGCTTCAGATGGTTGTCTGTAAAAAAATAAAATAAAAAAATAGTGAGATAGAGAAATTCAGTTAAGGCACAGTTATCAAGTTTAAATCAACGCATTATGTTTGTTCATATATTGTTATGTTTTTATATTTACTTTGTAATTAGTTTAACTCCACTTCCTTGAAATAATTTTCTATATCGCAGTAACATAGACACAAGAGTATGCAACAAAAAAGTTGAAAGGAAGATTCTTTCATGAACATGCGCAGAAACATTTTACCATAAATCTAAAAGAAGTGCTAATATTAGTCGTCACGTTTCTTTCTGAAAAGGCATGTACATTTAAATGTGTAGCTATATGTTGCGTGTTTATATATATATATATATTCTAACAGTTCTTAACACAAATACTTATTACACAAAACGTATTTGGAGAAATTATATCGCTTTTATGGCAAAACTATTTACGGTAAAACAGTATAAGAACACCCTTTTATACACATTTCAGTTTTTTTCAGAAATGAAATACCCAACAATAACTTTTTTCTTTATCACCACAGTTTCAGTAGTTGACGATTTCAGTTCAGATTACTTAGAGACCTAAACACGATTACTGACTATGAATTTCATTTTGAAAAAAAAAAAAGTCCGCTTCCTGGTGGTAGAATCGGAGACAAATTCAGAAACGTATGTTCCATACGTGTCAAAACAAACACAAATACTCTGAATACTGTACACAATACATCGTCATGCCTTGTACACGTTTTTCTTCAACATCTAATTCTTCTTATGCGATGTCGTCATGTTTACTATAACAGTTGCAATTCCTACGATTTTGCTCAAAGAAAAAATAAATAAGTTTGTTTGGAATATCTGTGGATTAATGATGAAGATTAAGTATCCCTGATATAAAAAAAATAGTATCTGGTACAAGTGTAATATTTCTTCATCTGTAAGCATTGCTTGAGAATATCTGGAATGAGTCCTTTCTTTAATTCTTCAAAGAACAATCACAGTAAAAAGTTTCTGTGCAAGGACCGCCTTTTCTTAACTTTCTGGAGTTCATCTGGCCAAGAAAGAATCATTTCTCTGGGTTGTTACCATAAAGATATCCTGCACTGTTTTAACAAAACAAGCAGTTGTGTAACAGAAGTTCCCAGACATTGCTACGACACTGTTGCTTCTTAAAACAACTATCAGTTACTTCCAGTGCCTGAACAGTCAATCTCTACAATATCTTCTGGAACATCAACAAACTGGTACACCAACCTCTGGCCGTCTACTTTCGCCAAGATACCTCTTTGATAGTAATATCTGAAAAATATTAAATGTGTGTTGAAAATTACTTTGTTCATTACCTCGCAATTTAGAAATAAAATGTCTCTCATCCACCGTGTTTACGTAGACATAAAATACGTTTCCCTCCCCCTCCCATTTTTTTCACAAAACCTATACCAATTTTGTATATTTTTGAATTTTTATTCCTCTTTCCTGTTAGGTCTTCGTTTCCTGTTTTTTTTTTTTTACTTCTAACTTTCAATCACAGTTAATTTCCTAATTAATGTTTTGGACCTTTCCTTTAAGTTTAATTTTTTCTATTTATCGTGTTTTCCTTACTGACTTAATACTATCCAAAATAATAACCTTTTTTTCGATTAATCTATTACTAGAGTTTTTTTTATTTATAAATAATTCAGTTTACTGATTGAATTGGTTTTGTATCGAACACCTCAATTTAATTTCTATATCGATTATTCTTTAATCTAAACATTATGTTTTGCTCTAGTAAACGTCCTTATTCTCACACACATAACTTGTATAGCAGTTAAAATGAATCTTAGTAAGTACGAATGTCTCACGTGTTACAAGAGATATAATAATTATTCTGAAGAATTATTCTTAACAGCTAGCCTTCCCGTTGCTCTGCATTAAGCTTGAGAGGTAATTAGACTTAATTACGGGTTCGATCCCTGTGTTGGGCATAAAACAACAAAAAAGTGAAGAAAAACTACGTCATTTTTATAACTTAACTGTAAAAGAGATCACCTATATAGACCATTAATATTAATACATTTATTGGCATTTTTTATTCCAGATGACATTAAACTTTATACAAAAATATATCTAAAAAAAAAGGGCGATTTCACAATATCCAGTAAAACCTATCCAAGATTCCATCCCGATCTATAAACAAATTACTGGAACCTAAAATAAAAAATGCTAACGAAAACTCTTACCTCAAAGCCCGGCCCATAGTCTCGTAGTTCATGTCTGGTTTGTTTTTATGTACACCCCACAACTTAGAAACAGCTTTTGAGTCGACCAGTTTAAAGATTCCCTTTTCTCGATTAGTCCATTTAATATACCGTGGACAGTACTCCTTGTCTTGTAAAAGTTTAAGTAAGAACTCCCACAAATATGTAGTCGAACCTATATTCAGAAAAGAAGCGAGGAATATTAATAAACTTAAGTTTCCAATCAAAACATTGGCAGGAATACAAGGAGATAAAGTGTATATAACTTGTTTTAGTGCGTGAGCATATATGTGATGAAATATTTGTACAAAAAAGCGATGTTCTAGACCTATGATAACAATAAAAATATTAAGTATCTTAGTCTATACCCTCTTCTTCCACCACTAACGATCTATTTGATGATTATGGAATATTACTCCACAGGAAACCTTTATTGTTAAATAATTTTGCACAGTGCATTGAGGAAAATGTTGTTCCATTCCCCTTTGCATGCTTTCTAGAGGCGCGGGAGTGAGAAGTGTATGGTGGTTTAACTGCTATGTTTGCAAATGATATAAAAAAAAACATTTCTGTTTGCACTTGCATTGAGGAAAATGTTGTTCCATTCCCCTTTGCACGCTTTCTAGAGGCGCGGGAGTGAGAAGTGTATGGTGGTTTAACTGCTATGTTTGCAAATGATAAAAAAAACCATTTCTGTTTGCACTTGCATTTTGCAGAAGAATTAACAGGTTGACTAGGATTTGTGACTGGGTGCTTTGTTTTGACGGGGCCATGCCTTATTAGCATCCTGTTCCTACAAAGATGGCACCTTCTCAAGGTATAGTGGTGTCAGTACGATAGCCTGGTTGTATGTGGAAGTTTCCCTGAAATTTTTCTGGACTCTCTGGATGATTAACTCATTATTATAGCTGTAACCTGCAACCACCATAAATCCCTTAGAAAGCTTTTCGCAACATGCTCAGTGCCAATTTTGAAATGTTGTATCATCGGAATGGCTTTTGTTACAACCACTTAAATAGACCCATACTTCGTCCATTCGTAGTTAATCTTCCGGTTGAAATTACACCTTCCCTTTATTTTTTTACCAGTATGATCCAACACTACAGCTATCATTTTCTTCAAAACCCTAAAATCTCGTGAATTTCGTGTTTTTTTTTATCACGAAACTTTTCGTCAGAAAGTTCTGTAATGTAATACAATTCCAGGAGTTAATTTTAGACGCCATCTACACTTTCATATCGCTATATACGCTTGGCTGAATTGTAACAAAAGGACATGGACTTTTAGCCTGCCTAGTCACAGACCATGGAGATGACCAGGAATAAGATGACTGGTTAAGAAAATTGTTATAATAAATAGTGAACAACTCTACGTATGCATAACATGGGGGCAAAAATATTAACTACATGATAATTAGACTTAGGTGATCTTATAAGCTACTAACTACAAAAACGATCGATATCCGAGTAACATTAATAGCCTAATGTTATGATCATAAAACATGCTTTTCATATGGGGTCTTCACTAGTAACGTTATCATCCCAAGGTCTCCCTATAACGTAGATAAACTCATAGATATAACGATGAGAGAGAATTTCATCACGCATGAAATATATGGTAAATGAAATACAATGATTCCCCAGTATAATAAATGTATGATTATCGAATCTTTGAGACTAAGAACGCCCATGTTTATGAGTGTTAAGGATGTCGGTGTGATGGTTCATACTGGTTCATTATTGTAATTGCAACAGAAACAAAACTTGTTCAACGCTCTGGATATTTTATTATTTCAAATAACATCTAATGAAATGTTTGATTCCTTTTTATTCTTACCATCACTGCATTAAGAGCTGTGATTTTAAACTTTATAAATTGCTAATGGTTAGTAAACTCTTTGTTTTCATGAATGGGTCATGACCCATTAGATAAGCCTGTTGATCTTTAAAGACCCAAAGAAAACTGTAAACAGAACTTCTTTATAACAGGATAAGAAAATATCTTTGTTCATACAATTTATCAACATTTTAGCACAGGTTTCTGCTTACATTTACAGGTTCTAGACGAAGAGGGTATGTCCACATTTAAAAGTTGCTAATCCTGGCCTTAGGAATGCCTTATAAAGTTACGGGTTCGAAGGTTTGTCCGTTTTCACTTAACTAACTTGAGTGGGTTCTATAGCACGTTAGTTATATGTGAAGAAATAGAAGTCGGAAACTGATTTCCCTATTCTGTTATTGGGGCTCGTCTGTTGATATGGCATTCTGAAAAGTTTTAGTGAACGAGAGAAATATCTTTATCTAACGTAGGCGTATTTTTTAAGTGCCATGTAAAATAACGAACAATAATGTTCCATCTCAATCATTATTGCTCGAGTTTCACTGCTTTCATACTCTGGGTATAATTTTTTCTCGAACCTTCTCTCATGCGATCGCTAATAGTTTAGCAGTTTTATCTGAGAATATTACATTAATAGATAGATAGGTATGGAGATAAAGCAGGACCTTGACATAAAGTCAGCTGACTGAAGCTGATATTGTGGCTATTTTCTATCATTTGTGAGAAAATCTAAGCAAACACTAGACCTACTTTACTTACAGAAGTCTTAACAAATATCAACTATTAGAAAAACTGATAAAACATTCGTGTTCTTGTTGTTCAAAATACTATTAGCGAAAAATGGATAGTTTCCATAACTTGTGTGACAAATATATATATATATATTTGATTATATGACAAGTTCATAATATGATTAATAAACTGGCTATATCGTTTTAGGTAGGCACTATAATAACAAAGAATTAGGTTTTTGTTTTGATATATGTATTATCAGTTATTATATCTCAAAACGAACTCACCTTCCCTGCTCTTTCTTTTCACAGATGTTGCGCCACCTTCAGAATTTTTCGGTTTTCGACCTGTCAAAATATTAAAAATTAAATAAATGACAAATTTCTATTTAAGATCTCAGCACTGCTACGTAAATAAGTTGAGTTGAACGTAAGTCTTTCGGATATTCACCTTCTTTATTTTTCCCGAAATTCAAGTTAAAAGCTTCAAGAGCACAGAATGAATGAAAAAAACCCAATAACTTTAGAAATAGAATTCACGAACGAGCTTGCTTGACAGCGGGTAAAGTCTTCCCTAATGCTTGCTTGGAGTTTTAAAATAAAACATATTCTTCAAGTAATCTTCATTCCACAAGAGATGCAATCTTAATAGAGTGATATAACTCACCTTTCCATCAAAAATAGAATGTAAATACACAAATTGTTTCAAGCACGGCTATTCGTATTTAAATCGATACGGAGGTTAATCGCACTGTTCTGGGTCCCGTGCTGTCATTGGAGACATGTTCTTCATCATGGGTTTTACTCAGCTGATGCCCATGATCATACGTCATTGCCCAACATCGCAGTTTTTGTTGTAAATACGTTTCTGCGACGTTTGACAAGGTCAATCTTTGATCACACATTTGGACAAAATTTGTACATGACCCCCACTTTACATACATGGAAGTTGACGTTAAGAAGAATAAAAATGACATATAATACCGTAGGAAGTAATGGATATGGGATTGCCCTTATTACCTTTTTGGTTAACAATCTTTTTCCCATAAAAACAGGCGTTAATTTCAAAGTGTGGCTAGAAGCTTGTTAACTTCAAATCCTTTCTTATTATATTTTAAACAGTACAAAGAGATACACCAAGCTTTATCGCAATGGCCTTCTGTGTCTGAGAGTTATTTTTCGTAACCACAGTTTTCATTTTTCGAGCGAAGGCATCGCTCCACGGCTCACATCTGCACCGATATGCCACTATATGATCATATACAAATTGTCCAAATAAATGCGATTAACTCTCTTGTATTCTAGGTGGGTCACTACAATAATTATGTACGTTGTCGTCTTTTCACGCGAATTTCGAATGGCTTCTTTACCACCCCACAATTGTATATTAACATGTAGTTTCCCAACTACAGAATCCACATAAAAAACCTGTAGGTGATTAAAAAAGGCAAATATACTACAATAATAAAATTGCTTAGAAGAAACGAATTGGAAAAATTACCTTTCTTTCTTGATCGAGGTTGGAAAGAGAGATCTTCAACATAGAAGGACGGATCTGGATCGTTTCCAAGGTTACTGCTGCTATGAGCCGCAGTGATAACGGAAGTTGGAATAGCTGAAGGTTTTTCACTAGGAGACTGAAGTCCAGAAGAGGAAGGTGATGTTGACGAAAATGAAGATGGCCTTGATAAAGCTAAAGGAATGTTACTGGAAGATAGTTGAGGATGTTGATGTAAGGACAGACCCAAAGAGTGTGGGGAATTTAAGTGACTGGTGCTTGACACGTGAGGATGGCCTGCATTAACTGAAGGTGCAGGCCGATGTTGGGAAGAAAAAGTGTGGGTTTGTGGGATTGAAATGGAAGAACCCCGACTGTCTTGAGGAATGCTGTTGGTACTATGGGGCTTCTGCAAACTCAGAGATTCCTCGAAGTTCTGAGCTTGTAAGGTTTTGTAATGGCCCTCTGAAGAGAAGGGAGTAATAACAGGAACTAGAATGTCGATAGAAAGAAAAAAAGAAAAACATTTGTAATGCAAAACATTTTATACAGTTACACTAATAGAAAAAAACAAACTTATCCCAAGATAATGTATCTATTAGATTCTTACAGTACACCAAACATTTGGAACTGATGGTATCTCCAAACACCAGTTCTCAAGTGGATATGGTTTGGTTTTATTAACTTTAGTGAGTTTAACGTACTTTATATAACATCCAATACGTCATTTTCTGAATCACAATTTCATCTTTAATGTAGAAATATATATTCATATTTATCATTTTAATATATCGTATTCACACACACACACAAAAGAAGAAGAAGATTAAAACACAGTATTAAATTGTGCACAGCTATAATACTTCGGATACGACAAGTTTGCGTCACGTTGTCGCCAAGCGACAACGGAAAGATCTACGTTCTCGTTTCTTAGCAACAAACAACAGCTACTTCTAAGCTTCCCGTGTGAGATCCTTAAGAGCTATCCAAATAACTATAAAAGGCTCGATAACAGAGATTTTTGTCCATCCTGATGTGACTGATAACGAAATATGGCGTGAATTTCCTTTAATCCAATAATGCCTATTTTTAATTAACTGAATCGCATGATACTCTACCCACATGATGCAAAACAATCATAAAACCACTAAAGTGTATACTAAAAATAATATAATCATATCATTTTCAAAAATATTTAATATACTTAAAATACCGAATTTTTTTCCATAATCTAAGAATAATTCAATAAGCCAAATCTTGCAAAATAATCACGATAACTGTTTGTTTTTGAACATATCAATATACTTATTCTCTGAATGAGGTGGTGAATTACGAAAGGAAAGGAAAAAACAAGTTTTCTATATTAGTTACACAAGCTACCAAAAGATGCCGCTCTAGAAAAGAAATAAACTGCTTAAAGCAAAGAGAGGTAACGGTAACCTTGAAATGAGATATTGACATTACTAGTGAGGTATTTATAAATTAACGCTAAATTTATTTAGCTGTTTTTGCAGGAGCAGGTGTACAACAAGGCGGAGTCTAGTCTATATAAATAGGGGGCGAGGCTCAGCTTGGACTGCTGGAAAACTATTATTGGAAGAATATCGTGTAAAACTAGGGAGTATGTTAAAACGGCTTTGAAAGTAATCCTACCTAATTGGCTTTATAAACGGAACTGAAACTACAGATAAATGATGTAAATGATGTAGCTGACAAGATTCAATCAACATGGAAGGAAAACAACTTCACGAACCTACTTGTTATAAATTTCCTTAAAATTTAGTCCTGATTTATTTTAATTTATTGGGAGAAACAGAAGTGGAAGCATGATTTTTTAGTTTGTTTTGAATTTCGCGCAAAGCTACACGAGGGTTATCTGCGCTAGCCGTCCCCTAATTTAGCAGTGAAAGGCATCTAGGCATCACCAACCCACTGCCAACTCTTGGGTTACTATTTTGCCAACGAATAGTGGGATTGACCTCACATTATAACATCCCCACGGCTGAAAGAGCGAGCACGTTTGGTGGGACGCGGATTCGAACCCACGACCCTCAGTCAAACTCCCTAACCACCTGGCCATGATGTTTCAGAACGCTCTTCCCGAATAAAAGGCGGCCCGGCGTGGCCAGGTGGTTAGGGCGCTCGACTCGCAATCTGCGACTGCCAATCTCCGTCCCACCAAACATGCTCGCCCTTT